TGTTTGAAGGGTCCTGTGGGCTTACAAGCAAACAAGTGCTCATGAGAGCAGCTCCTGAACTTCTCTGCTTTGTGAACCTCCCACCTGAAAAAGTGATCCCATCTCTGACTCCAGCCTACTAGGATTTGTCCTGCGTGGTCCGGGCAGATGAGAACATCTGACCTTAGTTGCTGCTCAGCATGAAGTTCATTAAACCTCATGCACAGGAAAGGACCAGGGGTTTGAATCAAACTCACTTGTTTTGCTGGCAGTGTGCAGTCAAGACAGATCCCTCTACAGGAAAAGCCACATGGGTGAACTCATATTAGATCCTCTGCAATCAAACAAGACCAGTAGCTGAGGACCTCACTTTGGAGATGGCTTAACCCTGCCATTGAACTTGTGCAGGTGCAACATCATTCTCGCTCCTAGCTAAATGAAATACAGAATTATTTTCAATCTGCTAAGAAATAGCCTTAGCCTTTCCAGTGGGTTTTCAGCCTATATTCAGGGTAATGAGTGACCCCAGTGAGAGTGCAGGGCAGCAAACGCATTGCTGAATCGATTCACAGGAGTGCAGGAGGATTGCAGGGGCTGGCAGTATTTGTGGCTCCCAGCCTCCACCAGCAGCCTTTGCCTAGGGCTCTTTGGGAAGGAGGGGTCCTTCCAGCAGCCTGCTTTCTCCCCATGGCTGGGGAGCTAGGAATTAGCTTCATGGCTTCTTGCCTCTATGCTCTTCACTTGCTGTGACCGCAGAATTGGTGCAGCACTTTGTGCAATGCCAGGCTTGCTACCTGTGTGCTGCAGCTCTGCTCAGGATGGGGCTGAAGCATCCTGTGCTCTCCTCGCACCTGGTGAAGGTTGCCTGGTTATAAAGGTTGGACACCACTGGCCTGGAGCATGGAGTACCAGGTTGACACCAAGAAGGACGTTCTGGACACCTGGCTGTGTTTGACAAGTCATGGATGACACTCTTAGTCATATGATTTAATTTTAGGTAGTCCTGCGAGGAGCAGGGAGTTGGACTTGATGATCCTTATGGGTCCCTTCCAACTTGAGATATTCTGTGATGCTATGATTCTGTGCTAGTTATTTGGTCTGCATTGGTAAGTGCCCTAACTTTAATCTAGTTGTGAGATATTAAACCCAAGCTAGCCTAGGCTTCAATAGACACCGCCAGAGATGGTTCAGCTCTTCAGCATCTCCTGGGATGCCAGACTGTCTCCATCATCTACAGACATCCTAAGAAAACTCCTCCAGCTTAAGCAACTCAGGGAGGCACCTGACATTGGGCTGGATGAATCTGATCCTTTGTGCCTTATAATGGCATAACCAGAGTCACTAGCTTTGGAAAGGCATTAAAAGTGAGAAGGCCTATGAAAGCACGATGTATTGTCATTAGGGTAAACGCTTAACATCATCATGCTAAAGGAGCTGGAGTTTCTTTGAGTGCATCTGTCATTTGATTCCTAACCTCAAAGACCAAAAAAGTGACCTGCTTTCTGAGACTGGCTGCTTGGTGTCACTGGAAAGCAGATTTCTTTTTAAGGGGTTCCATATGGACATGCAAATCTGCTATTCCTTTTGAAAACTGAATTAGTCTTTAGTTTGCTTTTACTTAAACTGAAAGCATTGCGTTAGCAACCAGGAGGACTGGATATTATTAGTAACCTTTTACAGGAAATGTGGTGTGTCATGGGTTGAGCATATATTTTTCTGGAAAATGCAGTGTACAGTGAAATGGGGGAAACAAGTAAACATAAAGTGCTTATACAGCAGTTCACTCTATTTGAACACCCAGCAATACACCTCTGAGGTTACCTGCTCATAAAAGAAGGAGGGAATGATATTTGAGATTTATTTTTGGCTAAAAGCATGAAGTGCAAATAGCTCTTTGTGCAAAATGTCAGCTGCATTTCTGGGAAACAAACAACATTGCCTTAATAATCCATGGTAAATAACAACAGTAAGAATGTTACCACCTATTATATACACCTGTAGGTGTATCTGGATAAACTTATGTAACTGTAGTTTGACGTATGAAATAAATATGGAAAAGTAAAACAAGGCATTTCAAACAAGTTATTCTGTGAACAGGAGAATTAATGAAGTATAGGATGAAATTCAGCTTCAGATAACAAAATTTGGGTGTCTACATGGAGGTATTCATGTATGGAGAAGACATCTGAGCTATCACTACAGTCTGCAGAGATCTAGGGCTTGACTCAGTTTTGTCTAATGCCACTGGGGATACTGTAAGGTATCCATCCTGGCCTCCAATTAGACACAGATCTCCCATAATAGTGTATCGTGTCAGCCAGTTGCCTCAGGATGACTTGGCCATGCTAGGGTCAGTTGGCACTAGATGACTACATATTGGCAGCTGCATGCAGCCCTAACGCGGTCGCCTGTATTTGGTCAGGCTCTGTTGTCTTCATGATGAACCTCTTCTGATTGAAATGGGGCTTAGATGCCCCATTATACCCTCAAGCTTTGGTGTCTGAGTCTGGAGGCAGCTGCCATCCTTGAAGCGTGATTCAGTTCCCTAAAGACTGCCAGTGTGGTGCCTGCTGTGACACCCCGTCATCTCCTGGTTAGATGAAGCCTGCAGCTTTAGGAGGACACAAATCTTCTGTAGGTCTGGTGCAGATGTCTCAGATAACCTCAAACAACAGTATACACCTCTGTTAAGGTAACGGAATTGAACCTATAAAGTCCAGGAGATTTTTATTCTGGATTTCTTTATCCCCTCCCTTCCTCCAGCTCCTTCCTATGTCCCTAGGTTGCCGCTGGGGAGGAGACACAGGCTGTGGCTTGTTCCAAGCTTTGTCTGCACTGGTGGCCTGGGTAGTGTCTCTTCTTTACCCACATGCTTATTTTCAGGATGCTCGTAGCAATGTGGTTATCTCTGAGACCTCATCCCTCTATCAAATTTGGTTGAAAATGGCTAAAGTGATTCTGCCAGTGACTCCTTTGCTGATGGACTCCCACCCGCTTGGCAGTATATCCAGTATTCTGGTTTTCAACTACCTATCAGACAACATCACCTGCAGTACCTCCGAGTGGGCTATGTAATGAAAGATTGATTCATACCAGACTGCCACAGTGATTAAGAGGAGACCCACACAAGCTGTCAGTGACACTTCAGTATGACGGACCAGCTAAGAAACAATTAGCTTTAATCTCACTTTACTTTAGAGCAGGGTAGTGCTCAGTGCACCAATAGTTTATTCAGCAGTTCATAATGGACATGGGCACCTGCTGTGCTACCGACTGCTTTCATTTATAATCACGGTGATTGCAAAGAGTACTTTACAAAACAGTACTGACAGGACACTTCAAACGCAGTGGCACTAGAGTGATTAAGACCAGGCTAGTTTTCAAAATTCCAGCTCATATATTCTGAATATTTGAAACACGGGGGAACAGGGTGGGGGGATGATAGCAAAAGCTTGTGGTTCTTTGGTAAGGCCCAGTACTGTTTATTTTGGTCTAGCAGACTTTATCAATTTAAAATACTATCAGAAAGACAGAAGCCGGGAGACTTACAAGTATTTCTGGTGGCATTAAGAGATCACAGAGAAAATATCTTCACAAAGTCCATTTTATTGCTAAAACAGCAGGAGTGCTGCAGCACTGATCTCTCCTTTGCAGTGCCACAGAGCTTGGCACCCACCCACCTTGTACAGGCAGCAGATGAGTTGATACCAGGCAATTTGGTCCTAGTTTATTTTGGGTAAATATATTTTAGCTGATATCGGTTTGAGTCACCTTCGCCCCATTCCCATCATCTCAGGCATCTACCTCCGGTGTGAGCTTCTTGCCCTTGTCAATCCAGCACAAAAGCTGTAACTCATTCCTTCTTGGACCACAAGCAGGTGTAATGTCCCATACAGCGCAGCTGGTGACCAGCCTGCAAGATGTATTACTGGGAATACCCTTCTAGAAGAAACTGTTTTTATTTATTGGATATAATTGTATATATTGGGGGAAAAAAAAACCAAACCAAAAAAAACCCCCAAACAAACTAGGAGGTAAAAGGTGGTTTAAATCATCAAATATGTCACCCAAATGTGGAGTTGTGTCTAATCTTGCAGCGCACTACCAGCAAAAGTAGATAGTTCTGAAGTTGCAGGAACAAGAGGAAGCCAACTTGCAGTGTCCAGTTCAGTTTGGATCTTCCCATACATCTGTGAAAATCTTCAAATAGTTTTTTCCTGACTAGTAGCAGCATTTCCAGGCCCCAGCGTGCTTTGGGGGTGAGCCCTGCTCAGATTTAGCCACATTAAGCCTGAGTGTGATGGCTTGTTTTTGCCTGGAGGGCAAAGGTTTTGAAACTATACGACCTCTGAGGTCGTATTTATTTACAGTCTCAATAGAATTTCTTCATGGCCCAGAGGATATTTAAATCAAGACTATCTGTGAAAATGCATACAAATGTTTAGAAATGTTTCCAAATATACTATTTGGTTTAAGCGCCATGTGTATGTATATTATTATATACCATGAAATATAAATAACAATATTCACACTGAGTAAAACCCAAAAAGGTCCTGAAAATATTCTTCCGATCATCTTTTTCTACATGTAAGCAGTACCTTTCTGAATGTCAGTAAGTGTTGCAAGTAGTGATTTCCTCCAAGATGGAATACTGGCAATTACAGGAAATTCATTATACCACCACTTATGAGAATATTTACACTATGTATCTTCCAATGAAAATTTTATCCCATATTCTGTTTCTGAGCTTTGCCTTTTCTTTCTTTTGTGTTTTGTGGTGTTGGAGAGGGAAAGGGAATGTCAGTGTGTTATCATCCATGCTAAACTTCTGCACCTGAAATTAAAGTGGAAATGTCTGCACTCCTTCTTTTCCTACTGAAATCACCTATAATTAGGGGTAGTTCCATGAACACTGGTGGTGTTACGATGACACAGATTAGATGAGACTCTCCTGCTTCCAAGACCAAACATTTGTCCTCCACAATTAATCATTTATTTCCTTTTAACTTTATTGGTTTCAGGTGCTCAACCTGTTCCTTGCCTTGCTGCTAAGCTCTTTCAGTGCTGACAACCTCTCGGCACCAGATGAGGATGGGGAGATGAACAACTTGCAGCTTGCTTTCGCGCGGATCAACAGGGGTCTTCAGTACGTGAAATACACGACGTGGCATTTTTGCTGCAATGTCCTCCGGCACCCCAAGACAACAGCTGAAAAGAAGGCAATGATGAAGCTTGCTGCCCAGAATACAGGTGCCCTTAACAATTGTGTGAACAGCCATACAACCGCTGAGCTTGGCAAAGACATGGAGAATCACAGAGAGAACCACGCTGAGGATGGGATGAATAAAAATGGGGAGAAACACCTAGGAATTACAGACAATGATGATTTTATGACCAATCCTGACCTGTCCATTTGTGTTCCTATTGCTGTGGGAGAGTCAGATATCGAGGAAGAAGATGAGGAGCAGAGCACCTTTACCGAAATGGAGCAGGTAGGCAACTAAAATGTTTGCTTGTTGCAGCGCATTAAGAGGGCCTTTGTTCCCACCCTTGCTCTGGATCCATGGCTCGTGATGCAAATGTCCTATGGCCTAATCCTGCCTTTGATATGTTGTTAACTTCAGAAGAAGTTACAGGTGCATATCCAAGAGCAAAATTCAGTCTCCAACAAGAGGCATTCCCTTTCTTTGTATTCTTTGTGCTTGTCTAGATTAATTCTTCTAACCAGAGCAATTAAACCCTTTCTCACACAGGAGACTGCTTTTTTTTTTTCCTTTCAGCTGAATCATGGGAATGTTACAGAGCAAGTCTTAGGTCCTCTGACTACGACAGGGGATTTTCTCAGTGTGCAAAAACGGGCAATGGCTTGATTTGTGCAGGAAAAATCAAGGGCCAGGTAGTTCTCTTAAAAATACAATGAGGCAGGGGCTGATATGACAAGGCACCAGAGAAAGAAAGAAGATATGTAATCGTATGTATTCAGACAGAAAAAATAGTCATTTGCCTGTTCTTTGGTGTGACATGGCAGATTTTCGTATTCCCCAGAGCACCCAGTAGTAAAGGCTGAAAATTTCTGTGTGGTTCGAAAAATTCTGTGGTTGGTGTAAAATGGAGAAGAAAAATCTTCATGGGAACCCTTTTCTTTCTCTCCTTCTCCTCCTCTCCCCTTTCTAGCAGCTTTATCTCTTGGCTCCACACATCATATCTAGTTAGTGTTTTCCAGACCCTCCAGCCTTGATCCAGCATCCTCTGACGCCGGCTGAGACCCGCGGAGTTCAGCAGGCACTGGATCAAAGCTCCTGTTTCAGATCCAGCTGTCAGGAGTGATCCCCAATCTCTCAGTTGAGGGGAAGAAAGTTTTGAAGCAAAACTGTCCTTAGAGAAGGCCTGTCCTAAAAAAGCCCCAAGGAAGGACTCTCTGTCAGGAGGTGGGCACAAATTGGCTGCTAAACATTAATTTCTCCTGCTTCATTGAGGAAATCTTTACAGTGTTAGTGCATCCACTTACCAAGCAAGTCTTAGACATTGACCATCCCCTTGGGGAGCTGAAGGGCAAGGAGTCAGAAAACTTTATCATCAAGCCCCACTGTCCAAATAGACACCTAGGTAACAAAAAAAGAAGTCTGAAATTTTTTGGTAAACACTTTTAGGGACTTTTTTGTATCTTTTTTAAGGAACACGTTTATTGAAATGACCTGTGGATCAGTGTGGGCAGCATGGATAATACCTATTTTTTTCTTTGAAGTCCTTTTCTATTTCCAGCATTGTATTAGTTAAAACTACAACCAGAGCACACCTGAAAAGTGAAGTATGAATATAGTAGATGGGTTTCTTCGTATTAGCCGATCTGCAACTACTGACTAGTATAAATGCATTTAATAGTGTATAAATGTGTTTAATTCTGGAGTTTTGGTTTGGTGGTTTGGTGGGGTTTTTTGGCCTTTAAAGATTTTCACACCTTTCTGCTACATCTGACAGAGGGTCACAATCTTAAGAACTCTCAGATTTTTCCTTCACGGTGCAAAGCAAAAGTTTGTTGAAACTTTGCACGTAAAGTGTCCATGAGGTCTGGAAGCGTGTGTGTGTGTGTGTGTGTGTGTGTATGCGCCCGTGTGTATCTCATACATCACTGTATTCCACCTTCCTCAAGACAAATAGCAACGTTCACAATTGCAAGCTAAACTGCAGCACAGAGCATGGAGGGTTTGGGATTTTTACATCTTACTGTACCTTAAAAGTATAGAAATGTGGATTTGTATTTAGCTGCACAATGCATCTATGTAGGTGCTGGTGTGTATATTAGTAGACAGAGCAGGTAGCCGTCCATTTTATGTTGTACAGCAAGTAAATGTGGAATTAGACCTCTAGTGAGATCTATTAGAGTCATGAGGGAGAGAACTGATGTAGAAAAATAGGCATTTTAGTGAAACAGAACATTATGAATAAAAGTTGACCTGAAAATATTAAGAAAACTTCTTCAAATTGTTTCAATAGTATTGAAACATTATCATATGTAATATAAACATTGAGGATTCAGAGTGAAACAAAATAGGAGGAAACACTATCTTTTAATGAAATTTTCAATAAACATTAGAGTAACATTGTCACATTACCACAACATATTTAGATTGCAGTGAAATAATATAGCGCACTGATAGCGTGTGTGTTAAATAGAAGGCATGGAGTTGAGAAATGTATTAATTAGCTGTGTCACTAGTGTTTTCCAGGCTTTGACAAACAGCTGCTGCAGGTCACTGCCGTTCCCCTGTGCATAGCCCTGATCAATGGTTTTCAACCTTTGTCCACAGGCCTGAGAGGTCTGCTGCTGAGAAGGTCCAAACGCGAAACGAATTCCTATATCCAGCAAACAATTTTATCAAGTTCCTAGGGGAAAATGTGTGCATGTGAGGGGGTTCCAACTCAAAGACTCAAAATACATTGGCATAATAAATAAACAAAAATAGGAAGAAGCTCAACAGCATAAATTATAATTGCGTAATGAGCTTTGCATTTGCTTTCCTGCAAAACCCTAATAAATTTGTGCAGCTGTAAATGTCTCCATAAGGAGCAGAGCCATGAGAAAGCAGATCCCAAACGATTCAAAGATCTGCCATTTTTAATGGTGCCCATTCCAAAGAAAGATGACCTCTGGACCCACAAAAAACTCTCTTGATCAACACGTAGGTTACTGCAGTACCCCTATTATCACACCTGGAGGTCAGTATGAAATCCCAGGTCCCTGGATATAGAGTTGTGAGCATTACAGATTGCTGACCTTTGTATCAAGGGCAGCCCTGTGGGACTCTGGGGAATAAACTTCCCCAGTCACTCCCAGAAGCTTTAATCCTGAGAGCCCAAACTCCATGGGGGTCCTTACCTCCTTCCCTCCGGGATGGCCACAATAACCGCAGCAGAGCTCGCAAAGGAAAAACAACGTGAACAAGAGCAAAATTTACATGATTGCACTGAAAGGGCACAATTACGGTGAAGTGTCTTTTTGTGTGGAGGGCATCATAGAGAAATGAAACAAGAACTACCAAGGGTATGCTAAACATTCAAATCTATTCTAACTTTCCCCTAATTATAATCCATATTTTTACATATTTAAATATTTTAGCATGTACAAAGAGAATGTGTATGTATATTTACTTCTCAGGAGAAGACAATGTACCCTGCTTCACTTTAAAATTGTTGGCTGACCTGGAATTTAGGAGCCCTTTGGCAACATTGCCAGAACCTGCCTTCCTCCTCATACGTGTAGATTTTGGTGCAATAGCGTGAGAGAAGAGGCAAAAGGAGATGCATAAACAGGGAATATATGTATGCATGCCTCTCAAGCGCATGGCTAGGTAAATCTGCACAATCCTTACACACCCTTTACACTTTCTCTGTCAGTTGAAGATCCTGGACCATATTCTGTTTATCGTGTGCTCACATCAGTCCAGACCCATCCGTCATGACAGAGGGGCTAAAGGGAGGCTGGTTTCAAGCAGAATCACAAAGTTGTTGATCCCGATGGGGTATTTTAGTGTGATGATCAGCTCAGCTTACAGCTCCCATACCAATGCTGGGCTCTTTGCAGAAAGTCACAAAACTACTCTAAAGTAAGCCGCCAAGAAATGGGCCCCACAGTGTTACACACAGCAGTTTGAAATTTCAGATGATGAGAAACCCTTCTGTGACCGCACATTTTTCCTCTGAGTAATAGAAATGTCTAAGTTTAAATTTCAGCTGCCATTTCTATTATCAAAGCTTAGACTGGCAGCAGCCGTCTTCCTGAAAGCTACCAATTTGTGGCACTGTCATGGAGAGGGTTTCGAAGGAGCGAGACCACCTGATAGCTTCTAAATCTCCTTTGATTACTGATTTGCAAGTGAGATACTCTGCCAGCTCGGGGAGCCAGGAGACACATGCCTGTAGCCTACACATATGGTGAAAGGATCAGAAAGAAAAGCCGAACAATAAAAGTCAGCACAGGTGCAAAAAAGCTGGCAGAAGAGGAGTGAGGCTGAGAAAGGTCCACCTTGAACTTAATTAATTCATCTTTATTGTGTGATATGTGTTTTGATGCCAGTCACTGCAACATTTTTGCTAAGGGCTTTACCTAACCCCCTTCCTTGCTCTGCTCATAGTGCTGTCCTTGTCAGTCCACAAGATTTCTTCAGGATTTGATGAGAAGTTTAAACTTATAATGAGAACAAGAATAATCACAACAAAAATATCATCCATCCGGTCGTACTTCGAACATAGTGTCCAAATAACCTTCTATTACATTAAAACTATTTTCCATTTTTCCTCTGTCTTTGAGATGTATAATTTAAATATGGGTTGTCCTAGCAGGAAAACAGCTCCCAAAAGCTCAGCAGCAACCACAGCAACATGCTGGTTGCATCTTCTCAAGGTTCTTTTGGGTTCTCATTTTGGCTTCCTAAATGATTAAAATGTGGACATTATTTTCTTGAACCTCCATAGAGTGTCTTGTAATTGCTTATAAGGACCACCTTTTCATACGTGACATCAACTTTCAGTCTCCTGAAGGAGCAAGAACCAGATTATGGGGACAGTAAAGTGATGGGACAATTCAGTGTGCACAGTCCACTCCACCTGACACAGAGGATCCTACCAGAACTTACCTGTAATTTAACTACACCGAAAGTTTCACACATGAGACAGGTTCGTACCATTTGCATTAGACATATAAGTCCAAAGCTTAGATCTTCAAAATTCCTACTTTAGTATTTCTTAACCTTCAAGGTGCCCGCAGTTGTAGCCCAGAAAGGTGTGTGCCTTTTTCAGTGACATCACTTTGTGGTTCAGGGGAATCCTGCAATAGACTAAAAGGAGGTTCCAGATGAGTAATGCTGAGTGTCCTGAATCAGTCCCCAAAGTTCGGTGTCCTGCACTGATACCATTGAACTCTGTCTTGTTTCTATTACCCCAGGCCTCAAGAACGTCCAGGTCTTTCTGCATGGTATCTGAATCCTTTTCTGCATCGATGAGTTCCTACAGTCAGCAAAATTCATTAGTACAACCTCAGAAAATGGCTTTACCCTTTCCTTGTTTTTTGAGTCAGCCCAACAAGGCTGTTATCGCTTTCCCCCCCTTCTTAAATTTAATTACTTCACGTCCTGCCTTACTCAAACTACTGCCCTCGACTTGATCTGCCTATAGCATGCCACTGAGAAGAAAATCCACGCTGTGGTGGCTAGTGGCTCGTGGCCACATCTCACATTCGCCCCCTCTGCAGTGACAGAGCCAGGCACAGATGCTGTTTTCCGCAGAGATAACACCTTTGTTTTTTCACATGCAGTGCAGTGCCGAGCCAGCAGCACTTGCCTGCTTGTCTTCAGAAAATGCCATTATTGATTTGTTCCAACGGAGTGGCTAATTGGGTCATATGGAAAATGCTGGCTGCCTGCTGCCGGGACGGAGTGCTTTGCAGCTTCTTACCCCTTCCTCGACACCAGGCACGCACGCCACGGGAGTGCTGCCTTTCCGTGCACAGCGGCCAGGTCCCAGCTCCCACCATGGCTGATTTGTGCCATCCTGAGACTGCAAAGCCGGTGGAGGCCTGGCCCATCCTCTTTGCCGAGGCTTACCCCTGGCTGTGGAAATCCTTAAATAGCAGAAAGTCGCTGCTGTGCCTGCTAGGGCTCACCTTCCCGCGACCTGGCAGGGAATATTGCCTGCAGGAAGGGAACAGTGTCTTTCATTACCTCTCAGGGTTTCCCAGTTTCCCACCCGCACAGCTGCACTTCTCTGTACTCTTCCTAGACCCCTCCAAGGCAGAACAGCACCTCTGCTGTGATTTTCAAGAGGTTTGGGTCTGGGTCTGCACAGAGGACCCGAGGGGAGTACATTGCCTGGATTTTGCACACAGGGCGAGTATTCATTGCTCCAGAGCACGCCTTGCTTTCTTAGTCATATTCACATTTTTTTCTCAATTGACAGTTCTCCCCTCGTGTATATCCTTGCCTGGGCTCCAGCAAACACATCTGCCAGGAAAGCCAGTTTTCCAGACTTTAGATGAGTAACTGCCTCTGTATACGTCAATAACAGAACTGGCTGCCACCACAGTGTCTATTCAACAGTACAGTTTCTATATTGCCCTGAACTGGATCAAACCCCCAGGCTTTTATTCTCTACTTCCTCATACTTATTTCAGAATTACTGACTCATTTTATTTCATTTGACAAGGTGAAACTATTTCTGATAGCATTTTTTTGCATGTTTCTACCAGTAAGAGATTCATAATTTTGAGATCACGGAGGACCATTAGGATCATCACGGTTCAGCTTTCTCATAACACTGAGTCAAAGCCTTCAACCAATAATTTCTGCACGGAGCCTGTAAGTTTATTTTAGCTATGATACATCATTTGTAAGACAGAGAAAAGAATGAAATGTCTCAGGTAACAGAGAGTTCACCATCTGCATCTGGACCCACATCTGTTTCCTTTGTATACAGTGGAAATTTTACTGTACAATTTCTGTGCATTACAGACCTGCTCCTAAACCTGAAGTGATTCCGTAAAAGTCAATAGAATTATTCCAGGTTGACACAAGTGTAGCTGAAATTATTGAAAATTGTCATAAAAATGCCAGTGCATAAAGATTTTGATATAAAATTGTTTGTGAAAATGTCTTATGCTCCTAATAATTCTAACGTCTATAAATAAGAGATACCACGTAGTCATGTGTTTATTTGACAGGGTACATTAATTTCAGCCTTTTACTGCAGGAAATATACTTTATTGTCAGGAATCGTAATGCCCTTTCAAACAGTATTTATATTCCATCTGTTTTCAGTTCCAGTCTGTGGGACACGTTCTCTTTTAGTGCAACTGGATAAAATACCTTTGAAGTCGGTTGATGACTCCCCAGTTCTTACTGGCGGGAGAGTGAGCCCACGTGTATACATGCGTGCAACACGCAATAAATCTTACCGCGTTCTTCTTGTCAGCTTTATTTGGGCAAATATTTTTCTGATCGTTAAGTAAGATAGCAGGGCTTTTTCATTATTATTATGTACATAGTTTGCCTGGGTTTCTCCCTTTTGTATACTTTGCTTTGCATTTCTTGAAAACTGTGTAGATTTGCTAATTATTTTTAGCAATAAAATAGAATATTTCTGTTTTTATTGTCTTTGAAAGAATAGCAGCAAAGCCATTAGAAAAAAAGGACTGTAAATCACAGCAGCAGATTTAAAGCACCTATGTCTGCATCTTTGCTTTTACATATAGAAAGACATTTGTGTTTATTTTGTTTCAGTACGATGGGGCAGAAGGAGAAGACTCCGTGTCAGACCTCTGATGACATGATTAGAGCAGTCACACTGCGAACAAAGGTTTTAGGGTGCTTATTCAGTGCGCGGTGGCAGGGAAATATATTTGTCCACAGCATAATGCCTAAGGTGCAGGAAACACAGGGAGCTGATGGAGGAGAGAAAGCGGGGGGAGAAGAAAAAAAAAAAAAAAGCCTGGCATTGAAAGAACCGATATCAGGCGTAGCGGATTTGACAACATGCATTTGGACAAGTGCCCAGACTGTGGACTACGCGTCAGTCACAGCCTACTGGGTGCCA